TACCGTAAGAATGCCACCAATCGCATATCATTCACGCAGAAAAATAGTAGTGCAACAGAACTCAATTGGCAGGTTATGTGGATTTTTGTGCTGTAACCAAGTGACATTACATAGTGTAGAATTTTAACATTATTACCCTACACTTGGTGGAAGATTGGCACCAATGTCAATATAAGGTTAGTTTCCAATTTATCTTTGTGGTGTCCATGAAACTGCACTGTGGTAAGAGTGTTTGCTATAGGAAAACACAAGATTTATGACTATAATTAGATATGGTCAAATAGTGCTTTTTATTCAAATGAATTCCACTACTTCATATTCTTAATAATATGTGGAAGTTGTCATCTTTTCTTCACTCAACTAGGTGTCATAGCTCCATACTTCATTAGATTTGAACAAAAGATGACTCTTTGGAAAGTTACTTAATCCATACATATATATATATATAGATATATAGATATATAAAATTTTACTTCTTAAATTTTTTTATAATATATTTTATAAACAAACAAAGTTAATAATCATATTAATATGATATCATGGAATTATGTATTTATTCCAATAATTATCTATATAATTAGATAGAAGTAGGTAAAACTAGGTTAATTTCATAATCTCTTTTAAAGAAGCTTCCTAGAAGCTTTATAGATATTACTTTGTCTTTATACATGTTTATAATTAATTAATAAGCTAGAAACTTAGTCAACAAGTTAGCCATGTATCATACATGTTAGTAGCTTATAGAACAAAGTAATTATTTGGCCTACATATACAAAAAAATCCTTACAAATTAAGACATGTATCTAATAAAGTTAAACCATATTAGACGTCCTATAGAATATTGTCATGTAGCTCCTAATTAGAAAGTATAGATAGAAGCAAGAAAGAAGCCTTCTTTATTCTTATTAATGCCTTTTTAGTTCTTAATGTTGATTCAAGACTTTCTAATGTTCTTGTCTTTGGCAATAGCCATTCTAGTTCAATATATATTACCATTTTTGAGTAATTTTCTAGTCTTTTTGAGTGACATAAGGATGTATTGAGATTTTTTTTTTTTTTTTTTGAGATTTATGTCCTTGACACATAAAATACTTAACTCTTTTTTATCCAAAAATTTATTCCATCTTCATACTAACTCTTTTCAAAGCAAGTGAGATCTTTTTGAAAAACTAACAAAGAAAGAAACTACACTTTAAAATTTTCAAACAAAATACTAAAAATATATATAAAAAAACTACCACAAAAAATCCTATAAAAGAACTTAAAAAGCGGCTAGCTCGTCTTTCATTCTAAAACATCTTCCATCTTTATACTAACTCTCTTTGGAGTAAATGAGAGCTTTTTGAAAAACTAACAAAGAGAGAAAAAACCCTCCAGATAAAATTTCCAAACAAAATACTAAAAACACTTTTAAAAAACCTCCAAAGAATGGATGTTTATTTCTAAGGGGAGAGAGTTTGAGTGAAGGAGAAGGAGAAAGGAGTCCAAAAGTAATATAAGCCCATGTCACTCCACTTCAGTCATTATCTCTTTATCTTAGCGCTATACCACTCTACTTCAACTCCATTCCAACCTATCTTAATTTATCTTTGGAGATAAACTATCAATATCTATAACTATCTTTTATTTTATTTTAATTCATTCTTTTTTTCTATTTTTTTATTACAAAAAAAAATCTTATAATATTTTATCTTATTTTTATATATTATACTATTTCTCAACATGATAGCTGCGACTACAAAACTTCAAGAAAATGGCAAGTTGGAGCAGCAACAACATAGTGATGGATGCACAAAAAATGACCAAATGCATTAAGTGGATTGGTGTTTCTATAGCTCCTTGTACCAACTTTCATTACTATAATTAATATAAATAAATTAAGCATAATATTGATTAAAAAAAATTAATAGGAATAAAAACCATAATATAATTTGTATAAATCAAGCTGAGTATAGAATATAAGTTAAGACTTTTGAAAGAATAGTTTGGTAACAATCATTTATCAAAATTAATAGAAAGATGAATTATATGAATATTATAGGAATAATTGGAACATTGTAAAAAAAAGTTGAATTAAACTAGGAATAATTAGATTCTAGATTTTTCATCCTTAAAAGTTAGGACAAAATATAGATGGTTGAGGAAATAAAAAAAGAATTAGATAAGGTATGACTATTAATCAAAGTACTAGATTTTATTTTAGTAGATTAGTCATTCACAATCCAAATAGAAAAAGTAGGTGCTTACTTAGGTAGGAATTATATGTACATTATGGTAAGATGCTTTGTTATTTTTTCTTCAAAAAATAATATTCAAATATCTTGGGTGGTATCTATACTTTGTTTACATTAACTCTTGTCATAGATATATATAATGTATATGAAAGAAAAAGAAGAAGAAGAATGAAAATCAGCATTGGTCTCTAAATGTTCAATTTCATCATTGGATGACATATATTCCTTCTTTGTGATTGTTGTATCATCTACTTTCTCTTTCATGTTTATTTATTTATTTATTTTTGTTCTAGATCAATTATATATTTCTTATGTAGTATTTTACTCAACCATATAGAATAAAATAATTATCAAATTGATATGTTACAAAATAATATTTTAAAATTAAATATTCTTATAATAATATTTATTTATTTTAATAATTTATATATATGTGATATCAATTATATTTAGATGTTTTAATTAAAAAGATTGAACTTATCATTATTATTTTTTTAATTTTAGTATATAACTCATTAAATAGTTTTTTAGAAAAGTTTTTAAAACTATAAGTATATATATATATATATATATATATATATATATATATATATAATTTTTTATTATTATGAAAAAAAACTTTAGGAATTTTTTTTTTATTTGAAATTCTAGAAATTCAAAAATATCAATTAACATATAAAAGGTTGTAAATAAATTTGTAATATATGTATATATAAGAGTAGAATGTACAAAAATATCATACAAGAATGTAAAAACTTTATAAGATTATATAATATAAAAATATAATGCATAATACATTCACAAAAGCTTTTACTTATGCTAGGTCTTTTCTAATACCTTAAGATGTTTACATTATTCTATATAAAATTTTATTTCCAATATATATTTTAAAACATAAGAAATTTCTTCAAAACTTAGTAAATAATTTTGATTAAATCACCATCACTATGTTTCCTAAGATAAAGTTAGCACTTTACTTTTGATTATGGTTACCAATTTGTATTTTAATCAATACTGTGCACATTGTTTTGTCTTTCTTTCAACCTCCACAATTGATTTATTGATTTATTTTTATCTTTATCTTTATGATTAATAATATGAAAGTAGATGTAGTATAAATATCAATTTGCAGTTTAGTATTCATTTTTTATATTAATAATTTATAAACGCAACATGTAAGGCCACAGGTTGATTAACCACAAAGAAGCCTTTTTGTGCAAAGCAGAGAGCCACCCAGCCATGACTTGTGGCTTAGCTTGAACGAGACTTTTGTTTTCACTTTTGGGTTTTTACTGACGTTTGTAGCCAGTAGAATGGAATTATAAGTTTTAATAAATATTCAATTATCATTCTTTATATTTAGAATCAACAGAAAACTACAAGTTAATCACGAAAAATCCTGAAAAAACAACAGAGAATAAAAATCAGAATACCATTATTGTTAAGAAAAATTAGCCTTCTAAGGACATTAATTATGTGCAGAAGCATAATTTAATTTTTTAAAATCAATGTAAATCATTTACTTTTAAAATTTATTTTTTTCATTTTTTCAAAACTCATATTTTCAATAAAAAAATATTTTTATTTCTGTTTGAAAAAAATTATTTATGTTTCCAAGTCATATTTTGAAACTTCTAAGACTTATATTTAATTTTTAATAAACTTATTATGATCAAATATAATTAAAATTTTAATTTTTGATGAGTAAAACAAACTTTCTTAAAATTATTATTTATAAAATAAAAAGAAATCGATTTATATACCAGTAAAAAATCTAATACATGTGGTAAATCTAAAAACAAATTGTGCATTATTTGGCCTTAACTTAATATCCACAACTTAAAATGCTGTAATTGCCAAAATTCCTATAGATACAAAGCTCTAGTTCAAAATTAATATCAATAGCTTGCATTATGAAAAACAAAAATTAGTGATGCCAACTTTACATAATTTAACAACACATTCTATAAATTTATTGTGGTTTAATTACAAATAAAATTGATATCTCAACAAAAATATCTCAATAAATATTTCATTCATCTTAAAAACATCAATCAAACTAAAACCTTCCTGAATTCTTAAAGCTACTTTGCAATACAGGTTCAACTATTTATAAACTTTGATCATCATAAGAAAAATACTTAACTAGAAGTAAAAATAATTAATAATTTTTTAATTAAATGTTTTAGTATATTTTTCTTTCACTTATTTATTTCTTAAGAAATGAACATGAATATTTTTACAAAAACATAATGGTATTGAAGAAAAATAAATAAATAAATAAAACTAAAAATAATATACATACATATATAGATAGATAGATAGATAGATAGATAGATAGATAGACATATAGAAACATAAAAAGTAATGCTAGTAAAAAAAAAAAAGGAATGAAAACTTAAAAGGACAACTACTAATCTTAATTATGATTGATTAATCAATAATAAGCATATTTCTGATAATCAAAATAATTAAGATGTACGAGACAATACTTCACAAATTTTCTTAGTTCTCATGTTATTAGCAAGTTTAAACATCTCTCATTCTATGATTCTAAATTAGTATAAACGTGCACATAAATTTGGTACAGAATTAAATATATTACTTACTTAAAATACAATAAACAATTTTTTAACATGGATGTTGCAAACTAAATGGATGTCAACAAGTACATGTGAAAGAGCAAATAAAAACTTCAGATGTTAGCAGATCATGACATGCTCAAAGATATATCGACCATTGGACAATTGATTTTAGATCATGACATGCTGAAACAATTTTTGTTTTTAATTTATTGAAAATAGTGAGCAATGAACTTAAATTGAACAAGAAAATCAGAGTTGTAGGTTGCCCTGTCCATGGAAGAAAAATTAGAATTGGAAGACCAAGAATAGTTCCTCAGAACTGAACTAAAAACTATGCTGGGATGCACCGACAAACCAGCTGCCAAAATCGTCAATCAGACATTCCCCGATCTCGGAGCATAGTTGAAATCATAGAAGTATTCCTTGACCTTATCCAGTGCTCTCCTTCGATGAGATATCTTATTCTTCTCATCTTTCAGCATTTCTGCAAATCTGCGTCAGAAATGGTTGTGAGACGCAGCAACCATGATCAGATTTGACGAGCAAATCTTATGTGTGATGTATATTAAATGAAGTGAGGAGAGCTTACATGGAAGAGGCAGCAAGAAGGGTCTGAAGAATCTAAATTCACTGATATGATTACTACCACCCAAACTCTCATGTCAACAAGTTTACTTTAATTTAGTTTTTAGTTTTTAAAGAAAAAACGTGTTATGGTTCATTGTATTTCAAAAGACTCTGGAAAGACTGTATATTTACGAACTGTAAGGGCAGATTGACATTGGACACCATGGAACGCCACCGAAGTATAGACTCACTTTCACAGACGATATTATTGTGTATGGGTTAAGGAAAATACAGTTGTCTGGGCTAGTGTCTTAGAAAGGAGATCCAAAACTTACGTAAAGTCGGAACCAACAGGTTGAAAAATTGGGTCCCATCCGAAGTTGCCAGAGCCTCTTGCTGGAACAATCTTTCCCTGCACAACCGTAATCCATTCAGTTCGGAACCAATTGAATCGAGTCTCTTGAAGGACTACCCGACACAGGCTCGTGAAACTGTACCTCGGTTCGACCACTGAAGGTGATTGGCTCAAAATCGGGTCCAAGAGCAAGAGAAAAGACACATAGTGCGTATGCTGTCTTATCCTCATAAGCTGCCAACAAGTTGTTCAAACCTACATAACAACAGCACACAGTGTGTGTCGTAAGAAATTGAATTAGGGTTCCAGATGCATGTTATCTCGATCGGTATGGAAGAAGGGTGCTAGCGTACTTTGCACTAAGGTAATTAAGAGTCTATCCAAAAAGACAGGGGAGCCCTACCAAGCCAATTGAATACTTCCAAGATCAAAATGACGAAAACTAGCCCCTCAGCACTTGAAAATACGAAATACACTAGAAGCACAGGACTCCTACGTGGTTATTCAAGGCACTCCTCTACAAGAGTGAAAATTCAGAGTTACCTTCATGGCCCGTTTTCATGAGAAACCACTTTCTGCATAGCACATGAGACTCAGATCTTTGTAAGTTCCAAGAAAAAAGCTGGGTACGAGATACACGCATACAGCTAACAGCTCACCCACGATTATGGCACTGGCATGTACTACCGAAAAAGATAATCTTAACAAGGCGCATCTGTAAAATGAAGAAGAGCCTCTGATAAAACCAAAATCAGACCCACAATCGGTTCATTTAATGCAATTCCATACAATAATAATCTAGCACTGTATGTATTGGACACAGAACACCAACATTTCCCGTTCTCGATAAGAGCCATGGATACGATATCCTCAGCATGGGTTTAGAGGCTCACACATAGGGTCCTGTTGCCCAACACCCACCCAGTTAACCACACAGTGTTAAAAAACTTGCCAGAAACGCACAAATATCTGGGCCCGCACAAGTTTCACTACTACCGGAGTGCTGGTCACGAGAGTCTTGCTGTTGAAAAGCTGTTGGTATGGCATGCAGTACAATTCTTTTAACTCAACAAGTGAATTACGAAGTTGTGCTTATTTCTTCACTACCGCAAATTGAAATTTTTATGCTTGCTTCTGAGGTTGGAATTATCATTTAGCAGGCTTCAATATGCACCTAATAGAAGATACATGAATATGCATGTCACATACCCGGCAGGCCATTCAATGCATTGAAGCATAAACAAGTGTCTTCCACTAGCACCGGACCTCCAATCTTAATCCACCACACCGAATCAAAACAAGAGTATCATCGCCAGGCACACGAATATCCCCATGGTTTTGAAAGGGATCAAAACATAGATGAACACGTTAATAAAGGTGAAGACAACGCACATACAATGAAATGCGACAAAAGAACTTTCCCAACACCGGGTTATTTCTCCTTATAGTTATCCTAAATTCAATCAGTGAATTGACTAATCTAATCTAATCAGTTCAAGGGCTGCCGCGAATTCATGAAATTACCTCTTTCGCTGCAAGTCTTGCCTTCTCTTTTGAAATGTCCTCTGGCTCCCCCTGAAGTTCTGGTACTGGAAGTATACACCATGTCAAGAGAGGCTAATAAGCTTTAAGATTGAGCAGGTACAAAGAGCTTCGAAGATATGAAGTGATCTAGGGTAAGAAATCAGGCTTTGGATGATTGAAGCTTAAAACATCAGGTACTCAAGGAAACTAGTTGTCTCGTATACTTGATGGACAAAAACAAACGTGCTTTGACAAGAACTGTAGAGAATCATTAAAACCCTTATCATACCCTAGTATGTGAAAGAGTGAGTTCAACAGCAGGCATCTCTTGCCCCAGATTATATAATTGTATGAGATTCAAATTGCGATTCCTATAAAGAGTTAGTGAAAATAGATCCAAAACAATCGATAGAAGAACCCTACAGTAACATTTAAAGCCGTTCTCAAATCTGTCCAAAAAACTCCTAAAATTTGGAGTATGCCGACGAGGTGTGAAGGCTCAATGCTGAAGCATACGTCGTGGAATCCACGTCCTAATAAATGCCTAAGTTACAAAAGAACACCCACAAGAAATTGGGATAGATGTCTAGAACAAGATCAGTAAGCGGTCTGAAGTGAGAGATCGCTCGGTTGATCTGATGAAATTATTGGTGCATGCTCATAATTCTTTAGGAAGAAATCAAACTTGCATGGAAATCCCAACCACCCAACCTCCCGGTCATTGTGTGAGAGAATTCGAACTGAGAACCCGTCAACTACATCTTCATGTCGACTTACAATCAAGCTTGAGCGACTGAAAAGGAATTGACTGGCCCAGAATCATCTTCACTTCTTCCAATTTCTTCGCATTGCCCGTCACGAACGTGACCGGCTTGGTCAAAGTCATTTGCACCTTCATGGCCGCCATTTCCAAGGTCTTGCCTCCGTTCGTAGTCCAGAAAAGAACAAGCAAGGCAGCCTGCGCCGCAAGACTAAGGGCAAATCCACACAAGACTATCAATTCAGAAGAAGCAAAATCAGAGATAGATATGAAGAAGCGAATGACTCCGCAAGAATTCACAATTCCGACCGCCAAACGCTGAAGTTATTCTCGAACAATGGAAAGAACTGGGAAAACTCGCACCCCTACAACGAACGAAAATTTGAACGATCTGTCTCACCTCCTTGAGACAAAAGCAACCACGTTTCCTTAGCTTCTCAACATCTTACCTTCTCAAATTCAAAACTCAGCGTCGACGACTTGACACCCAGGACACTATCAATAGGCAAAATAAACGGGGAATAGTTTGCAGAGGAAGAAAGAAACGACAAACAGTCGTGACAAACCTAATTCTTTTGTTCTTTTTGGGCCAGCTCAGTAATGAGTTTCCTCTGAATGTGATGAGCTGGATATTTCGATGCCGCGATCAAAGCAGAGCTTTTGTCGAGGAATGTGTGCTCCTCACCCTTATTACTGAGATGTAATTTTGTAGGTCAGGGGAATTTCCATCTGTAGCTCTTTCTTATTAGATACTGCGACGATTTCACCACGGTTTCCAATTCACAGAGGCAGATGATGGACAAAGCGAGCGTGCCTGGAAGAACACGACGATGGAAGCGCAAGAATTAGTATGTTGCAAGTTCGGTTGATCGATCTGTCTGTGAAGCCGAGTAAGAGTTTAGCTGTCGGTACATAGTTTGCGACATCGTCACGATTGAAATCTAGATACATGGTTGCTGTATTTGCTGAATAGCTTTGTTGAGCCGTCTAATTCTGGAACCTCGCACTGTATCTCCAGTCATCTGTAACTAATGCAGTTTTGGGGACCAGCAGTGGCAAGCACGCAAGTAAGAATTTAGGGTTTGCAACCAGGTTTTAGGGATTAGGATTTGCAAGTACATTGTGTGAAGTTTCCTTTTAGGAATTTGTTCAAGATTACTCATTTTATGAAACTATGAACATACACAATTCAAGCGCTTGTTAACTACGTTAATTGGGGGATTTCTTTGACTCCAACACAAAAAACTTAGTACCTAAGTTCATGAACTCCTTAAACGTATGTAGTATCATGCACTTATTGATGTATTGGGGAGTTTCTTATGTATCCTTTTTTTTTAAGGTTTACAAACAATAGCAACCTTCTACAAAATGATTATATCAGTAGATGCACCATAGTAGCATTCTGCAAAAGTTTAGAAGGCATCAGAGTAAAACAATTGTGGATAAAAAAATATTGAGACAAGTTTTTGGGGTTAACCACGGTTCTTAGGATAAAATTTATGTTGAAGCCCCACACCTACTTTAGTCAAGTTTCTAAAAATAAAAAGGAATCTTCATAGGTTCTTGCAAAAGAAGTAGAGGTTTTTTAACCTAAGTGTATTGAAGAAGCCAATGCTTACTAGATTTGTATGAATTTTTTTAATAGACCAATACAAATATATGTCACCAATATTATTGTTGTTATTCAAAATTTTCTTATTATGGTTTCTTTTTAACAAAGAATAAGGATTTGTATTTACACAAAGCAATTGTTTTTTAGTAAGTGTGCATTGATAATGTCATCAATTTCATCAAGGCATTTTAGTGTGATATGTTGTCTTGTTTAAAAATGTACAACGTATTTGATTGTCAAGAACAATAGTGAACATTTATGTAATTTTTGATGTTATTTTAACTTATTTTTTATATGTTAAATAAGTTAATCCATATATCTTGTAGTAGTTAAAATCTCTAGTTGTACATGCTCTAATTACATTAAACATGATTCATAAACATATTTATATTTAAAATTTATACCTAATAAACATACTTCTATAAAAAACATTCTTAATATCCAACCATTTAAGTATAAAAGACTACTTCTTCTATTAATTTTTAAAGTCTATTATAGTAGTTTTTTTTAATAAGTCAATAGAAACTTGTAGAAAATTTTAAAGTTTATTTACAAATCAATCTATAAACCTCTATTTATATTTTTCATAAAAATCAAAATCAAGTCATGTTTTTGCAAACAACTCTTAAAAATAAGTTTTCTTTTAGAAAATTTGTTTTTGGTTTATATTACTTATAAATTACAAAGATATGACAAAAATATTTAAAAAAAATTCTAACTATAGACTTACTACCTTATAATCAAGCTCTACATTCAAATAGCTTAAATCTTGATTTTTTTATTTTATTTTTTTGTAATATTTAGAAAGCTTAATCAACATTAATATTGCAAAATTCTAATCTTTCTTTGTCTTCTTAGAGTTGTTTCAATACACAAAGGTATCCATATAAGAATTAACTTTTTCTTCTTTGTTACTCCTAACTTGTCACACATATTAGCATTGGCATTAGAAATTAAGAAGATAAGAGGTATTAAATACAAGTTAAAGTAAGTAAACTTCATAATTTCTTGTCAAAAATGCTTGTTAGCAGCTATGTGGATGTAGATTTGATTTTATAAGTGTTTATAGATAATAGATAGATTAAAAAATTAGCCAACAAGTTGGCCACATTGTTGTATTATGTCAAAATTAGTTTGGGAATGCAATAAGTATCATACTATAAAAAGATATGATCTTATCTTGAAGTTGGATTTACAATTCAAAAAAAACAATGCATACAATGTTTAAAAACACCTTAGAAATCTTAAACAACCTAAAAAATCTTGTCACATTATATTCAACTTTAAATAAACCTTAAATAATCAAAAAAAAAAAACTAATTAAACCTTAAAGAAATAAAAAGAAATCCTATAGAAATTACAAAAACATCCTCAATAAATCCTAATTGAATCTTAATTAAATATAAATTTTATCTTAATTGAATTCTAATAAATCTTAAATATTCTAATCAAACCTCAAGTAAATCCTAATAAATTCGAATCAAATCCTAATAAATTCGAATCAAATCCTAAGTAATTACTATAAAAAATTTTAAATCTTAATAACTATTATATTCTCCATTGATTTAGATTAAAATTATCTATACAACTCAATTACTAGTTAAAAACAAGCACACAAAGTTCCAAGAGGATATAATTAATACAATAGGAGAAAATATTTCTAATTTCTTCTTCTTCTTTTTCCAATCTCAAAAAAAAACTTCCAACTTTAATACCTCAATTTTGAATTGTTAGTTTTGTTTCAAATTTTTTTAAAAAAAAAAACAACTATCAACTTAAAAATATATTATTTCAATCTAACTTACAAATTGCTTAATATCTAAGAAACCCTTAATGACCTTCAAAATCCAATTTCTAAGATCTTAATTCACTTAAACTTTTATTATTTATGATCTAATTATATAATTGAGCCCAAACTCACAATTCATATTTAATACAACTATTCTCACATATCCATAAAATTTTACTCTATATATTTGGTTTAGAATTAATATATATAACCAAATTGAAACTTTTTTTTTTTCTAAAAAAAATAGAATCACCTAAAGCAACCACAACTTTGCAAAGTTCTCACAAATTTAATATATACTCAAATCTCATAAAATTAATGTTCATAAAAAATTTATCAAGTCTGTACTTAATATTTGCACTTGAATTAAAAAAATAAAAAATAAAAGAATCCATTTTTCCATAGGCACGAAGTTTTGTGCTTCAAATTTAAGTTCAACTATAGTTCATAACCATCCCTCTAAAGATATTAATTTATGATTTATCTAAATATATATTTTTTATTTTTATTCTTTACTTCTATAACCAATTTTACTTTAGATTTTTATTATGATTCATGTTCTAATATAATGCCTTCAAAATAACTTAAATTTCTTATTTTTTGGCTCATTTCTTCTTAATTCTAATTTTTCACTTCTAAATTATTATTCAAACCCTAACTAAAAGCTCAAAATTCTTTTAACAAATATCTTCTTTATAATTAGTAGTTTTGATTTAATCCATAAAAATTAAACTTAGAGTAATTATTAGAATTATAATATTTGATATTGTTTCAAAATATTCAATAAAAAGATAGAAGATACAACAAAAAATATGAAATAATAAAAATGTGAATTAATAAAAATTAAAAATTAAAAAAATATCAATATATTTGTAATTTTATTAATACAATAAAACAAGAAGCTTATAAAATAATAATTATTATAAAATAGTACTTAAATTTTATGTTGTTACAAAATAATATTCATTCATGAAGTATGAACTTGTAATTAAATTTAATATTGGCATCCAATGAATTGAAAAATATTAATTTTTTTCATTTAAGCATGATTTAATAATTAATTTTGAGATTATTACCAAATAAATTTATTAAATTTTAAATCATTTTTTTTCTTTTTGTATAAATATTTACTTTAAAAAATATTAATAAAAAATTAAAATATCTTATATCTTTGATTATTCTTGGTATATATTGGTATTTAAATTTGGTAACTATTATTATCATATTAGTTTATAGACCTTCTATTATTCATTTTTGAAGTCTTTAACTATATTATTGTATAATATTTCATATTTATAGTTTTATTCACTATTACAAAAAGTCACAATTTTAAAGTTTTAAATTTGTTTATATAGTATTTTTTATATATTATTTATATGATACTATTTTTATGTTAATTTTTATATAAAAATTCATGTTCATTTTTTTATAAATTTTTTAAACTTAATCATAATTATTTTTTATACTTAATATATTTTATTAATAGATAATTTTTTATTTTTATAGATATCATCTAAAATTTCAACAATCTAATAAAAAATGGTGATTTTTAACATCATTTGTATAAGATTTTACCATGCATACTTGATCATTTCATAATTCAAATAAATATGTATAGTTTGAATTGTTTCAAATCAATATATGTTGTAATTAGAATTGTGCAATAGAATAGTATTTTTAATAAATATTCATCACATTTATCCTATTTTTGTTAGATAATAATTATAATAGTTATCAAATATACTTTTGTAGCATCTAGTTTTTACAATTATTGAAGTATTGTCACAAACATCAACATTGGCATTTGTAATTAGGAAGATAAGAAGAATTAGGTAGAAATAAAAGTAAACAAAGTTAATAATATCTTTTGAAAAGCTTCTTAGAAGCTTTGTAAATACAAATTTGACTTCAAAATTTGATTATTTAATATTTTTATTATGTATTTGTTTTAATCCAACTAGATATACCTTCTAGAATTGTGGCTCAAGACTTCTCAATCCAAATGACTGGCTCTACAATTGTAGACTATTAGATTGCAATGGTTCTTAAAGAATAAATCTTAGTTGTTAATCCAAAGTTTAAAAACTAAAAGAGGATGCATATGAAAACCAACTAAATAGGAAAATTAAAAGATGTACTTTTGTAGCTAATTAGAATTATATACATATAAAAATCTATTATAATATTGTACAATTTATTATACAAATTATAAGAAAGTACCTAAAAAAAACATCAATATCAATCGAGAGATAGATTTAGAAGCAAATATCTTTTGAAGAAAACATAATAGCTCAATAGTATAGCTTTATAGCATCAAAAATATATTGAGATTGAAGTGATTTATCAAAGTGACAAGATCTTGAAGACACTTATTATAAATAAAATACAATAAATAAATAAATAAATTATATAGGAATCTTTAGAAAGAAGTTAAAAATAGGTTTTAGTAAAATTTATTAGAAAATACCAAGAATTGATACTCAAAAAGAATCAATTATGACCTAGAATTGAAATCAAACCTAAGG